CAGTACATTCATTGGTAGTAAATTCTGAGATGATCAATGTTCCATGGATGAGGCTGTGCCTTGCCCTCTATGTCTTCAATTCTGTAGGTGTCGGGTTGAAGTTCTTCTTTAACTCTGTGAGGGCCTTCCCAAACTGGTCCTTTCGAGGAGAGGAAGACTCTCCTAAGGACTAGGTCATTGATTCGGAAGGACCTCTTCTTCACCTTAGAATTGAAGTATTTGGTTATTTTCCTTTGGTAAGCTGCGAGCCTCAACTGGGAGTCGTCTCTTTTTTCATCAATGAAGTCGAGGTTGAACCTCCGTAGCTCCTCATTAGATATTTTGCTGAAGTGTAGACGACACGGTGATGGTAAATCGACCTTGACTGGGCTCATGGCTTCGATTCCATGGGCCATGAGGAAAGGAGTTTTCCCCGTTGGAGTTCTGGTGGTAGTTTGGATTGGCCAAAACACTTGAGGCAGCTCATCAACCCAGGCTCCCTTTGATACATCCAGTTTCCTTTTGAGGACATGTTTGATTGTCTTGTTTACAGCCTCAACTTGGCCATTGGCTTGAGAATGATAAGACGTTGAGAAGTGCTTCCTAATCCGAAGTTCTTCGCACAGGTTCCTGACCTTTTTATTATCGGATTGCCTTTCATTGTCTGAAACTATGGAGTGGGAAATTCCGAATCGGCATATGATATTCTTCCAAAAGAATTTGGACATGTTTGCTTCTGTGATTTTTGCTAGCGGTTCGGCTTCAACCCACTTTGTGAAGTAATCAATGGCCACAATGGAAAAGTTCACGCCTCCTCTACCTTTGGGTAAGGGACCTATCAAATCCACACCCTACTTGGAGAAGGGCCATGGGCTGGAGACGGCAGTTAGCTCCTGCAAGGGTTACCTCTGAATGGGGGAGAACCGTTGGCACTTGTCACATTTGCGCACGAATTAAAGCGCATCCTTTTTCAAGGTGGGCTAGTAGTACCCTTACCTCAGTACCTTTTGTGCCAAGGCTAGTCCTTCTAAATGATTACCACAAATACCTTTGTGGATTTTCCTCAAAATGTAAATGGCTTCGTCTCCCCCCACGCAGCGAAGAAGTGGGGAGAGAAGCTTTTTTTGTAGAGTACGTTATCAATAAAGAGGAAATGAGCTGACCTCCTTCTCAGCTTGTAGGCCTCATCTTTGTTAGTGGGCAAGACCTGGTCCTTTAGATAGGCTATGATTGGTTGCATCCAGGTGGGGGTTCCTTCAACCCACATCACCTCAGAGGCCTCGATAGACTATGTGAGGAGGTGCTCAATTGGTATTATAGCAAGTAGTTCGGAGTCCTTACTGCTCGCGAGTTTAGAGAGAGCATCTGCATGTGCGTTTTCGAGGTGAGGGATCTGCATTATTTCAACTTTTTCAAAAGATGAGAGGAGGTTCATCACCATCTTAAAGTAGGAGACCATGGTTTTATCTCTAGCTAAAAAACTGTCATTCACTTGGCTCACCACCAGTTGAGAGTCACTGTTGATATGTAGTCTTCTTACTTGCATTTCTTTCGCTAATCTGAGGCCTATAAGGAGCGCCTCATACTCAGAAGCGTTGTTGGTGGCCTTAAATCCAAATCTCACGGTTGAGTTCAACTTGTGACCTTCTAGGCTGACAAGGACTACCCCAGCTCCCGAACCTGTGTCTCCAGCCGAACCATCCACGAACAAGTTTCATGTGGGGGGCTCAACAGGTTCCATAACCTCTTTCATCTCAGGTACATTGGTGAACTCTGCTACAAAATCAGCTAAGGCTTGGCCCTTGATGGCTACCCTTATCTTAAAGACAATGTCGAATTCACTTAACTCTACTGCCCATTTCAGTAGTCTTCCTGAGGCATCCGGCTTCTGTAACACTTGTCTCAAAGGAAAATCGGTCAGAACATGAATGGTTCGTGCTTGGAAGTCGGGCCTCAACTTCTTAAAGGCTGTGATCAAGGCTAAGGCTAGATTCTCCATATCGGGATAGTGAGTTTCCAGAGATAGGAGTGTCTTGCTAGTGTAATATACGAGGAGTTGGGTGGTTCCTTCTTCTCGAGTTAATATCGCACTGATGGCCTCATTGGAGATGGCCATGTATAATTGAAGGATATCGCTGGGCTTTGGCTTGGAGAGGAGGGGGCCCTGTCCTAGATGCTTTTTCAGGCATTGAAAGGTCTCTTCACATTCCTCATTCCATTCGAACTTCTTCCCAACTTTCAATACCTTGAAGAACGGGAGACATTTATCGATGGCCTTGGAGACAAAGCGGCTAAAGGTTGCCACTCGTCCCGTTAGGCTTTGGGCTTCCTTGGGTTTCTGGGGTGATCTCATCTCAAGTAAGGCATTGATCTTTTCAGGGTTGACTTCGATCCCTCTTTGATTGACTATGTACACCAGAAATTTGTCGGAGGCAACGCCAAAAGCGCACTTGAGGGATTAAGCTTCATCCTGTACCTTCTGAGGGTTCGAAAAGTGTCATCCAAGTACTTCACATGGTAGTCCGCCTTTAGGTTTTTCACAAGCATATCGTCAATGTAGACTTCCATCGCCTTGCCGATGATGTCCACAAACATTTTGTTGACAAGTCTTTGATAGGTGGCCCTGGCATTTTTCAACCCAAAGGGCATTATCTTGTAGTAGTAAAGGCCTTTGTCAATGATAAATGATGTGTTCTCTTCATTGGCCGGGTACATTGGTATTTGGTTATAGCCCGAGTAGGCGTCCATGAAACTCAGGAGCTCATTCCTAGCGGTGGAGTCTACCAATTGATCAATTCTCGGAAGTGGAAAACTATCTTTGGGGCATGCCTTGTTGAGATTTGTAAAGTCGATACATACTCTCTACCTACCGTTGTGCTTCTTGACGAGCACCGGGTTGGAGACCCACTTCGGGTAGATGACCTCCCTGATAAAGCCGTTCTTGATTAGCTTCTGTACTTCTTCCTTCAGAGCCTGATACCTTTTTGGATTGAGGGCTCTTTTATTCTGTTGATGCGAGGCAACCTTAGGATTTATTTTCATGTAGTAACAGCTGACGTTAGGGTCTATGCCTACCATGTCCTCATGCCTCCAAGCGAAGACGTCAAGGTTTTTGCAGAAAAAGTCTTTCAATCTTTCTTTCATGTCGTCGCGCAGGCCTTTGCCTACCTTCAACACTTTCGTGGGGTCAAGGGAGCCAATCGAGAAGCTTTCTAACTCCTCCACCAGAGTTGTTTGAGGCTCGTGTTCAATCGCACGAGGATCAATCTCATCGATTATGGAGAGCTTTTCTTGCTCGGGAGATATGTCGATCATGTCAACATCCTCTCGTTCGGGAAAGGCCTCACTGGGACATCTGCCATATTCACATTAGTCAGGATGGTATGTACGTCTCGGGGTGCAACCTTTCTGATGGAGCTTAGGTAGCATTCTTTGGACCCTCTTTGGTCACCTCTCACTGTTGTCACCCCATTTTCAGTTGGGAGTTTCATGCATAAGTGGTGGATGGAGGTGACGACCCCCAACTCCTTTAGGGCTGGTCTACCTAAGACTCCATGATAAGCTGATCGACTGTCTACAATAAGGAATTTCATGAAGTTCATGGTGGTTTGGGGGAACTCTCCCATCTCTACTGCCATTGTTATCTTTCCTCTTGGAGTAATGCTATCTCCGATAAATCCCTATAGAAGAGTGGTGGTGGGCGTCAGCTCGTGGTTCAGGATCATCTTATCAAAAGTAGACTCGAACAGGATGTTGACGGAGCTGCCATTGTCTACCAGCATTCTTTTGAGCCCATTTCGGGCCACAACGGCCCTTACCACAAGTGCATCACAATGGGGGTAGTGGACCCCTTTAGAGTCCTTTGGGGTGAAGACGATGGATGGTACTTGGTTTTTTCAGGAGTTGCTATCCACGATATAGCTGGTTAGCGGGAGGCATTTAGCCTCTGAGGCATAGTTCTATTTTGCATTTTGGGTCTCACCCTCTCACGTAGGGGCCTCCGAATATAGTATCTATATCGTGAATAGGGGCCTCTTCTCTTGCATAGCGGTTCCCACGATGCCTGTGTCCTTCCCTGGGCCTCTCCGCGCCATGTTTCCTTCGATGGGGGGATACATCTCGCTGGCGGAAAGTGGTCTCTTCATGCCCGCGTCACTGGTCGTCCCTAGGTGGGGGCCTGTTCGCCTGTGGCAACTCATTCCTCTTATCTTTGGGGTGTTCCCACCGGTTGCGGTATGCGTATTCCTGACACTCGGACATGTCATGACCGTAGAAGCGGTGGTACGTACAATAATCGGAGGGTTCTGATTAGGCCTATTCCTAGGTCCTGAACCGCGCCCTTGGCCTCTTTCTCTACGAGGGGCCAGTTGTGAGGTTCCTGCTTGCGGGTCGGTAGTAGTTGGATTTACATCTTCATATGCCAAAGTTGGAATTGCATTCAAAGTGGTTGTGGCAAGTGCTTGCCCTGAATTTCCATTACCGGGTGAGTTTATCTGGTAGTTTATCAAGTGGGAGGTCAGTCCCCTAGCACACTATCGTTATTGAGGTGGGAGGCCTCTGCTGGCACGATTTCGGTGTTCAATTAATTCCTCATTTATAATCTCCCGCCTCATAATTTCCAATAGAGCGTCATAGGTGGTGGGATCTTGATTTTGCACGTCCCTCCAAAACAAGGTATTCATAATCAAACCTCCTCTTAGGACTGATAAAGCCTCACGATCAGTGACTTGCACGCAATACGTAATTTCGTCAGTAAAGCGTGATAAAAAGCTTTTTAGGGATTCTCCATGTGCTTGCCTCATGTTTTGAAAGCACTGGATAGGGGCTTCTCCCTCTTTGCTCACCGCAAACCTTTTTAGGAAGGCGTTCTTGAGTTCTAGCCAACTCCTTATGCTCCCAGGTGACAGTCGACTATACCAAATTTCAGCTGCTCCACTAAATGTCAAATGAAAAGCTCTACACTTCACAGCTGGGGTGGCGCCTATAAGGCTCATATGAGTTTTATAAGCACTTAGGTATTTCTCCGGGTCGTC